ATACGCTGATGTGCCAGGTGAGCCCCACCCCTTCTCAGCCAAGGGGTTAAGGATACCTGTTTCAAATCCCAGCTTGCTACTTGCTAGTTGTGTTCCCTTAGGCATTTATTTAACCCTGTGCCTCGGTTTCCCCATCTGCACGGGGGATGGCAACACTGGAACAACACCTCTCGAGGATGCTGTGAGAATTCAAATAGGTTAATCTAGGCACTGTGCTTTCAATAGCGCCTGGCACACAGTGAGGGCTTCACCAGGGTTTGAGGCCACACATTTGGCAATTCCTCCCCACAGCCCTGCAATCAGAAAACTCTTGGAAATGGATGTTGGAAACGGATGCTCGGTGCCACAAAGAAAAATTAGCACTGAGACAAAGGGTCTTTCAGCAACACAATTTTTACTTCCTGGACAGCAGGAAGGGTATTCTTACTAGCCATCGTGCCACGGGAGTACAGAGAACAAAGGAAAACATACAAATGTATCCCTTACGCATTTGGGGTTGTCCTTACTGCTGTGTCTGATCTCCGTGGGCTGGAGCCAGACCTCACAATCTCAACTATGTTGTCCACAACTCCTAGGCTCAAACCATCCTCCCACCTCAGCTCCCCCAAGTGCTGGGAGTACAGGTGTGAGCCGCCACAGCCAGCTAGGACTCTTGCTAGTCTTTGCTCGCTCCAGCTCACAGGAATGTTCCGAATTGCAGGGTGAAGGCGGCAATGTGTGTGACTAAGGGGGCTGCCCCGGCCCTTGCTGTGTGTCTTTCCGGCTGTGTGGTATCAGCACCATCAGACCTTTCTAAAGTCCAGAATGTCTGAGGTGTGAAACCCCTCTCGCCCCAAAGGTTTCAGATAAAGCCTCTGGGCTGTGTAATGACGATGTCTATTATTAATAATCATGGTTGGCTGGACATGGTGGCTCACGCCTGTAATCCCATTACTTTGGGAGGCCAAGGCAGAAAGATCACTTGAGGTCAGGAGTTCGAGACCAGTCTGAAAAAAATGGCAAAACCCTGTGTCTACTAAAAAATATAAAAATTAGCTGGACATGGTGGCAGGCACCTGTAATCCCAGCTACTCAGGAAGCTGAGGCAAGGAGAATCACTTGAACCCAGGAGGCAGAGGTTGTGGTGAGCCAAGATCACGCCAACTCACTCCAGCCTGGGTGATGGAGCAGGGTTCCACTTCAAAATATAATCACTGTTGTTCACATCATGATTTCCCAGCCAGATCCAGCCCATGGGGGACTCAGAGAGCAGGGGGCAGCACAGGCTTGGGGGATGAGAGGCTAATTCAAGGTCTCAGGGTGGTCCATCTCTGTCCTCCCCCTGCCTCCCCACAGCAAGCCCATGGTCTTCCCCTACCAGCCTGGGCCTCCCCAGATGTCCTGCAGACTCTTGCCCAGATCTCAGCTTTGGATATTGGCGCCCACGTGGGCCCACCCCGGGCAGCAGAGAAGGCCCAGCTGACAGGAGGTAAGGTGTGGGGCTGGGAGGCTGGGGTGCCTTCCTTTGGGAGATTCCAAGTTCTTTGTTCCCACCCTCAGGAATCCTGTTGAATGCTATCCTTGCAAACTTCTCCCGGGTCCAGCGACTGGGGCTGCCCCTCAAGATGGTTATGTACTCAGCTGTGAGTCCTTGGGAAACAGTGCCATGTGGCACTGAGGCATGGGGATGAGGGTGACAGCAGTTTGGGTGAGGAAGAGTCTGTGCTCCCAATGTAGCCCACTGCATTGGGTAACCAGTATCTCCAAACCCTACTCTTGGAGTGTATCATTAGAAGAGAGTCTGGAAAGAGAGGGGTGATGGTGTTGTGGAGTTCCCCCTCTGGAAGGACAGGCTTAGTCCAATCATACTGTGCGTCTATTTGAGCTGTCTTTATTAAATGACTGTAACTGATGGCACTGCCTTCAGGGTGAGGGAGAGCAGGTTTGGGGAGTTGGTTCTAAGAAGCCTGGGGGACATCTGGATGCACAAGCCTAGTGTTGAGGGGAAAGGAGACCTCCAGAGAGAAGTGCCATCTCAGCCCTTGGGTCCACCTGCAGCATGACAGCACCCTACTGGCCCTCCAGGGGGCCCTGGGCCTCTATGATGGACACACCCCGCCGTATGCTGCCTGCCTTGGCTTTGAATTCCGGAGGCGCCTGGGGGATCCTGACGAAGACGGAGGGTGAGGATGGGGTAGTACCAGGGAGACGGGTGGGAAAGAACCCTCAAAGCAAGGGGTGAAGTGTGAGGCAGAGGGCATGGCCGGCAGGGAATTGCGTGGGATGGTGCTGGAACAAAGACAGGTGGGAGTCAGGAGCCCGTTTCTGTTTTAAGGTCAATGACGGGGCAGGGAAGAGGTGCCACTGTGTCCTCTCTCTCCAGGAATGTCACCATCTCTCTCTTCTACCGCAATGACTCTGCCCACCTGCCCCTGCCTCTCAGCCTCCCCGGGTGCCCGGTCCCCTGTCCACTAGGCCGCTTCCACCAGCTGACTGCCCCGGCCCGGCCTCCGGCCCATGGGGTCTCCTGCCATGGTCCCTATGAGGCTGCCATCCCCCCAGGTGACGGTCCTCTGTGCTGGGGTGGGAGTGGAGGGTCCCAAGTCCTGGAACTCATACCCATGTTCTCCCTGCAGCTCCAGTGGTGCCCCTGCTGGCTGGAGCTGTGGCTGTGCTGGTGGCGCTCAGCCTGGGGCTGGGCCTGCTGGCCTGGAGACCAGGATGCCTGCGGGCCTTCGGTGGGCCTGTGTGAGTCAGACAGCAGGACTTCCCTATCCCCAGCTGACACTGGACCCCAACATGTGTGCTTACTGGCTGCTCTGACTTCTGTGACTTACTGTGCGCCTGTGTGCATGGGGAACAAGGGCTGGGTGGGTTCTCTGGCCTGAAAACCAGTGTGTGCATGTCTGTGTGATGGTGGCATCAGTGTTCACATGTCACGTGCATGAACAGTTTCTGCACTTAGTGCATGCACAGGTGGTTTGTCTGTGGCACACATTCAAGCACAAATGTGCACGTATCTGAATAAGTGGGAGTACGTACAGGCAGGCATGCCTGCATGGCGCTTGTTTTGGTAGAAACAGGGTCTCTGTGGCCCAGGCTGGAGTACAGCGGCATGAGCATAGCTCACTGCAGCTTTGAACTGGTCTCAAGTGATCCTGTTTCAGCCTCTATAGGCGTGCATCACGCCCAGCTAAATTTGTTTTCTCAGTATGTTTGTCAGGCTGGTCTCGAACTCCTGGCTCAAGCAATCCCCTTCTCCCAAAGCACTGGATTACAGGTGTGAGCTACAGCGTTCGGCTGGCTTGTTTATGCATGTTTCCATACAAGCATGGGCGCAGGTGGGTATCTGAGGACATGGTGGGCCCTGCAAGCACTTCTGTGCAGCTCGTGTGGCAAGAGCTTGCTCAGCAAACCTCGATGTGGGCCACGTGCTCTGCAGAGATCGGGCTCACAGGAGTTGGACCCTCAAGTCTGGTTCTTTGGTAACCCTGACTAGTTCTCAATGCAACCATGAACATGGGTGGGGAGAGGGGGATCTGGCAGCAGAGGGCTTGGAAAGGTGCACGATTCTAAGCCTGGTTTTGCAGCTGGCACCAATTCTAAGGCTGTGTGACTCTGGGCAAGTGACAGGCCTCTCAATGTCTCATTTGGCAGAACCACGACTCTAACCCTATGGACTCCACAACTCCCAAAATTAACTTCCTGGAGGCCAGCAGAGAGCTGGGAGAACCGGTGACACTCTGGGCTGTGCGCCATGACTTGTGCTGCAAGTGATGTGGAGACACAGGCCAATACAGTACCCATGACCACATGTAGCCATTTAAATTTAAATAGCTTTCAGGTCCCAACTGCTGCATGGGCCACACATTCACCACTGCATTTACCAGATGCTGATCAGTCACCCCACATCCACTCATGCAGCAGCAGCCACTGCAGACCACCTGCACCATGGCCGTTTTAAGCCCCTGCCCCCAGGAGGGGAGGCTGTCCCCTAGTGTGGCCTGGGGCAGTGCCAGCCCCTCCCAGGCCTTGCCCCACACCCATGGTTGCGTGGCACTAACCAGGGCACTCATGTGGAGCCCAGGTGCAGTGGACACTCAGAACAGCCACTTGGCCCCTATTAGATGGGGCAGTAGGAGGTTCAAAGCCACTCCCAGCAACCAGGACCTAAACAAGGCACAGGGTCCAGAAAGGCTGGGGGGTGGAAGCTGGGACTACCTCTTCACCACACCAGGGCCACCTGCATACTCCCCTGGCCCATTTCTTCCCAAGGTCCTGAAGGCAGCCTGTCACACACTCACCCCTGGGGACCCCCAGATCTCCCTCACTGCCCTGCCTGGCATTCCCTAGAGGCGCTGTGTGGTCAAAGGGCCCCCCAAGTGGATGCCAGGCACCATGACCCCAGAAACCCTGAGGAATGAATGTCCCTCCATGCTTTCTGGCCCTGGGAGGTGCCAGGTAGGGCTACCTGTGATTGTAACCAACTACCTGGTGGCAAGTGCCACCCCTTTCCCAGCAGCCTGCTGGAAGGGCCTGTATGCATCTCCCTTGCCCTGCAACCCCACCATAGACCCAGCTCACCACCCGAGCCCACAGTATTAAGCACTACAGTTGGGAGTGGTATGTCTGTTGTTTAATGGGCCTGTGTGCACAAGACACCAGTTATGAAGTCAGAACTGCCAGGGCTCGCTGTGTCCTCACAGAACTGTCACCTGTGATCCTGGCCCCAACACACCCCAACCCAGACTCAAAACTCAGACCAGACAAGCCACACAGTCAAACCAGACCTATCAGAAGGGACTGGCTGCCCACAGCCAAAGCATGTGGCGCAGTGGCTCACGCCTGTAATCCCAGCACTGTGAGAGGCTGAGGGGCGTGAATCACCTGAGGTCAGGAGTTTAAGACCAGCCTAGACCACACTGGTGAAACCTTGTCTACTAAAAATACAAAATTAGCCGAGTGTGCTATCGGGTGCCTGTAATCCCCAGTACTCGGGAGGCTGAGACAGGAGAATCACTTAAACCGAGGAGGTGGAGACTGCAGTGAGTTGAGGTCGCTCCACTGCACTTGAGCCTGGGCAACAAACAAACCTTACAAAAACTGAGGAAAAGCTTGAAGATGCTTTCATCATGGGTGTGGGGTCTCCCTGCTTGGCCTGGAGTGCTTTGGGGACCCATGTGACACAGGTAGCACCCATTGTGCCCACCTACCCTGCTGCCTGGGCAGAAATGTAACATGGCACGTGATCACTCCCCCTAGGGACTCATGGGGTCTACTCACAAGGCCTGCTCCCCTCATAATGTTTGGCCAGTGACACCCACAGGGGAGGGTTGGGGGCAGACACCCTTCTCTTCTGGGGCCCTTGAACATGGTGTCAGGCTTTGGCTTGCTCAAGGGACACTAGAGGGCTACACAGGGAGGGTAATGGCCAAGGCTTTTTTTTGCCTCCCCTACCATGTCCCGTGCTTCCTGATTGCAGCTCACACCAGGAGCAGCTCCCCCAGGACCCAGCCTCCCTGCTTTACGCCTGGAGCACCAGACTGGGTGGTGTCTGTCCTCCAGAGCCAGGCCCAGGGCTGGCTGTGTACACGGGCAGCTACTCCCCACAGGTCTGGTCAGAATAGGGGGGCAGTGGCGGCTCCTTCCCCAGCTTATCCACCTTCTCCTGGGCTCACGGCTCAGCAGCCAGGTCCTGGTGCACTGGGTTGGGTCCTAGCGTGAGCTTGGTGGCCTGGCTGGCCCTGGCACAATGGAGATGAGACTGCTGTTGGCGATGGTCTGGATCTCCAGGACAGCCTCCAGCACCATCATGCCCTTGACCAGCAGGCGCTGGTGCAGGCCCTGGCTAACAGGCATGTCCTTGGGCGTCATGGCTCAGGAGCAGAGGACAAGGAGGGAGAGGAAGCTAGATGCCCCTGTCCATGGTGGGTTGGGGCTGGAAGGGCAGCTCAGTGGCCTCAACGTGCAGGGAGGTCTCCCAGCTAGCACCAGGCTATCAGCAGCCAGGCAGGCACTGCTGTGCCACTATCGCCTTCAGGGCCTTGCAGTGGTAGCTGAAGATGACACCATTGTCAGGTTGGATCAGGTCACCCGGCAGCAGCTGGAGCTCTCAAGAGCTGAGGCACAAGACAGGGCTCCCAGCTGTACACTGGCAGGACCCAGGAGAGCTGACTGCAGTTCTGCCCCAAGTGCCAAGAGAGCCAGGAGCTCAGTGTCCTGCGGCACGAGCAGAACCAGCCCTGGCCCAGGTGGGTGGACGCCAGCACATTCCTAGTCATGGCTGCCGCCACGCCTAGACAGGAAGCAGCAGAGAGCCTGGAGGGATGCTGTCAGGTGAAGGACACAGAAAAGGCACTCAGGGGGGCAACAGCCACAACCCACCCATCACCTCCTGAAGTAGGGTCCCTCAGGCCCCTGGGTGTCAAAGGTCCCGGGGGGGGGCCCACTGTGTCCTCAGGGGCAGTTGGAGCCCAGTGCTGGACATCATGGGGTCCCCAAGTGCAGCCCTTTCAAGAACACTGACACTGGGCATCTTTTTTTTTTGAGACGGAGTTTCGCTCTTATTACCCAGTCTGGAGTGCAATGGCACGATCTCGGCTCACCGCAACCTCCGCCTCCCAGGTTCAGGCAATTCTCCTGCCCCAGCCTCCTGAGTAGCTGGGATTACAGGCACGCACCACCATGCCCAGCTAATGTTTTTGTATTTTTAGTAGAGACGGGGTTTCACCATGTTGACCAGGATGGTCTCGATCTCTTGACCTCGTGATCCACCCGCCTCGGCCTCCCAAAGTGCTGGGATTACAGGCTTGAGCCACCGCGCCCGGCGACACTGGGCATCTTGCTGCAACCCAGCCCCAACCCCCATCCCAACCCGCCCACAACAGATTGGTTACTAAGGTTAACAAGCCCAGGGCTTATGGCAGCACTTGGCTCAGCACTTGCTGGGCACCTGTCTATGTCTGCCTTCTCACCATCACCATGAATAACAGGCAGCCCCCTCCGTTCTTACCAAGTGATGGTCAGGCCCTTCAGCACCTGGAGGTAGGAGGGCAGAGAGAAGGGAGGTCAGTGGGGTACAGGGCAACCAAGATACCCCCTCATCCCTCTCTAGAGCCAGAGCCTCTCAGACCCCCGGGTGTCAAAGGTCCCGGGGGGCACCATGTCCTCAGTGGCAATCGGAGCCCAGTGCTGGACATCATGGAGGCCCTGGTGCCCTCAGCCCCCTCCTGATGCAGGTTCCAGGGCCACCTGCTGTCCTAAGGGGGACATCACGGAAGAGTGCTGAGCAATCAGGCAACAAAGCAAATGATACTTGGTCCTGCGGGTGCCAGGCCACTCCATCCAGCTCAGCCTGGGTGTGGCTCCTCGTATATCTAAGCCCACTGACCTCACCACCCCCCAGCGGTGTTTCTCTGGAAGATGGGACTAGAGATGCCTGCAGACAGGCGCATCTGTGGGGCTCGGTGAGAGCATGAGGTCAAACCTTTCTGCTTAGGCCTTCTGTGTCCTAACGGGACGCCCCTCCATTGCCTCTGTCAGCATCTCAGGCCTGCTGCCCTGACCCAGTTCTTCCAAGCTGCTCTGACTTCACCGGAACCTTCTGTGACATGGGGAAGGGGCAGCTGCCTCTCACTGGGACCCTGGCAGGATCTGTTCAGTTGATTCTCTGCAAGCAGCAACACTGTGGGTGTTCCTTCAGTGCCAGCTGCTGTTTAACGGCAACAGAAACACTAAAAGCTCCATTTTACGTAGAAATGTGCTGTCCAAAGAGGGGGCCCTTGTTTAAACTAACCGAGAAGACTTAAAAATCCAGCTCCCAGTCACGCACTGGCCACATACTGTGCAACCCCGGCTGTGGGACCCCGACCCACGGAGGCAGGACGCGTGGTGACCGGTACCGACTTTATTGGGATCTCCGGGCGACTCAAGCGGGAAGGGAGGAATCACACGCGCTTTCTTTGTTCGGTCGACTTTATAGGGACAGAGGGCCTGGGGCGGTAGGAGAGCTGACCTGGCGGGTAGTGATTGGCTAGGTTGGTTGCTGGGCAGAAAGCCTGCCGGGCGGGAGCTTGTGGGACGGGAGGTTACGGGAGAGCTGGTGGGGCGGATGGTGATTGGCTCAGTGGGCCGCTGGGCGGGAAGGTTGCTGGTCTTGGGCCGGGCCAGGATAGAGTGAGATAAGGGACCCTCCCTGTGGGGGAGGAAGAGCCTTCCTTATCGGGAATTAGGCCCTTTCCACATGGCTGGGGAACGGGGCCAAAAGTCCTCTACCAGACATATACCAGGTGTCCAAGAGCCACCTGTGGCCAGTGGCAGCCAGACTAGACAAGGCACAGAACACTTCCATCTGACGGTCCTACGGAGGGCGCTGGTGTAGAATCCAGAAGCTACACGTCCCGTCTTTCCTGTCCCATGCCAGCTCTCTCTTCTCACCTCTTTCTCACATCCCTACCCAACTGGCACCCACCCCACTCCTTATGTCCCCTCTAAGCCAGCCATGACAAATGCTCAGCCCCATTCACTATCCCAGAGGATTAAGATCACACGACCCTCAGAGAGATACTCAGCAGAGCTGAAATCCCAGCCAACCCTCCTCAGGAGCCAGCTTCCTTGCCAAAAACAGCTGAAACCTCCAAGAACCCAGAGAACACACTTCAGTTCTCTTTCACTGCAGCCACTGTTCTCCCAGCTCCTGACATCTAAGAAACAAATGAAAATCCTCCCAGAGCTGAGAACACTTCTTTTCTGGTAAAACACACCCTACCCCAACACTTTTCTAATGACTTTGCTCTTTGAAACAATTCTGATAACGCCTGTTAATTTTTATTATGAAAATAAGGATTCCTTGTATTGTATCAATTTATATACAAACACTGGGGTTACACTTTGCTTAACGCACATCGCATTCAGCCTACAAAACCTACGATGCGATAAGACAGGAACACCTGAGAGTCACTGTTTGCCACTGCTGAGTTTTGACATGTTTCTGATTAGTCCTTTCCCCTGAAACAAATGCCTTTTTCCTTCAGTCCTTGCATTCCTCTTCTTATTGAAGCCCTATCTTTGGAAGACAGAAAGCACTACTGCCCTGGGCCATCTGCTCGGTGCCTGTTCCACAGACACAGCAGTGAGGCACAGGAGCAGTGGCCTGGTGAATGTCTCCAAGCCTGCTGGGATTTGGATCCAGGCCTGCCTACCTGCCTAGTTTTCCACAGCTATAAGGATTTTTTTTTTTTTTTTTTTTTGGAGGTGGAATTTCATTCTTGTTGCCCAGGCTGGAGTGCAATGGCACAATCTCAGCTCACTACAACCTCCACCTCCTATATTCTAGGGATTCTCCTACCTCAGCTTCCCGAGTAGCTGGGATTACAGGTATGTGCCCACCATGTCCAGCTAATTTTTTGTATTTTTCATAGAGACAAGTTTTCACAATGTTGGCCAGGCTGGCCTTGAACTCCTAACCTCAGGTGATCCACCCACCTCGGCTTCCCAAAGTGCTGGGATTACAGGTGTGAGCCACCACGCCCAGCCTGACATGGCTTTGGTACGTAAACCCTGAGTACAATCGTTAGCACATAAATCAGTCCCCTGAGGTAAGGTATGAAGTCAACCTAGGCAGTGATATTTCAAACCAGGTGAATCAAGGAGCAGGAGCAAGGTTCTTACCTCACTGGGCACAGTGGGTGGTCCTCAGCTGGAAGCTGCACCTGTAACAGAAAGACAGTGAGGCTGGAGAAACAGTCTGTAGGTCCACGAACCATTAAGACTGGGGCCCCTCAGACCCCCAGGTGTCAAAGGTCCTGGGGTGCACTGTGTCCTCAGGGGTGATCGGAGCCCAGTGCTGGACATCATGGGAGCCCCAGCCCCTCTGCAACCAGGCCTGAGGTGACTTACCTTAAGGTACAGAGGCCAAGCTTAAAGAGTAGGAAACGCAAAACCCATCCAGAAGGTAAGAAGGATGAGTTTTGCTCATGGAGACACCAAGATGCCCCAACCTCCCGTGCCACAGGTCCTCAGGGTACTGTCCTCATGGGATGGGTAGGACCCCAAATGCACTACATGAAGATGTCCCTGGTGTCCACCCCCTACCCTTTGCAGATTTCTGTAGCACTGACTATACCTGCTGGTAACCCACAAACAAGGAAAGCTGCCAAGGCACAAATCCCTTGGATGAACCTACTGAGAGACGGGAGGAGGAAGGGGCTATTCTAGGAAGAAAAGAAGCCAACTTGTAAGTAAGAATTAATGGGCAGAGACCCTGGACTGGGTCAGGTTTAAACATATCAGATGTGAAAGACATCTGGAAGACGACGAAGGAACAGGCACAAAGCAGACTGTTAAACTGCAGTATTAAGGAATTAATGTCATTAAGGGTGACAATGGAAATAACATTTAGTACAAAAGTCATTTTAGGTATACAAGTACACTATTTTAGGTGAAATATGAAACTTTCTTTCAAGAGTCCGCTGTTGCCCACGCTGGAGCGCAGTGGCGCAGTCTCGGCTCACTGCAACCTCCGCCTCCCAGGCTTAGGCAATCCTCCCACTTCCTCCCCCAAGTAGCTGGAACTACAGACCTGCACCACTACACCCGGCTCGCTTTATCTTTTGTAGAGATGGGGTTTTGCCATGTGGCCAAGGCTGGTCTCGATGTCCTGGGCTCAAGTGATCCACCCACCTCGGTCTCCCAAAGTGCTGGGATTACAGGCATGAGCCACCACACTGGGCCACAAAACTTCCTTTCAGAACACTAAGCGCACACACAGTTTTTAAATATGGTAAGATGGTACAAATGTTAAACTTCCCCATTTGTTTGTAGATTTTAATATTGCCGAAGGAGAGCACGTCAATGATGAACGCATGAGAAAAATACCTTCACTTGTGACATGAACAAACTTAATGATTTTCTCAGCAGTTACTCGAAGGAGGGAAGTTAAGTAGAGATCCCTGCTGGGTTGTAGCGGGGGAGAGAGGAAATTGGCTAGCTGCTTCTAGGCTGGGCCTTCTTGGCAGGGGCACGGGCCCCACTTAAGTCAGGAAACCCATGTTCAAGACCTCGAAGGACCTAAGCTAAAAACTAACATTAACAAAACCTTCTCATGGGTCGGAATGACTCCTGCAGGTCAACAAAGGCCTCGTCTGCTTTCTTCTAGGTCCGTTCCTACATGGTTCTCAAAAAGCCCCAGCAATTCAACTAGAAACAGTTAGGGCCAGCCGAGAGAAAGGACGAGTAGACCCGAAGCCAGGCAAGCAAGTTTATTGACCTGCCAGGCTGCTCCTTAAGAGTCAGAGGCAGCAGCCCTGAGCTCACAAAATGAGGTTTATAAGGGCAAGAGAGGCCTAAGGGAGTATCTGGGTATGACCACATCCCCAAGTTGTCAGTTAATTCTGCCACATTATCATCTCTCGACAGACTTACATTATCTTGTGAAAACAAGAATTTACCAGGACATACAACTTAGGTTTGGTCAGGTTTCTCATAACCTCCCCCGTGCTGCCCAGATGGCTGTAATCGGGGCTTGCTCAATGTAACAGGTCTGGTGACCTTGCTGTGGTGCCTAGGTAAGAATTTAGGAATGCAGCTGCAGAGCCTTCAGGGGAAGGGTCAGCTGCACCTGGGAGTTTCCTGGGGCGGCTTGTCCCTAACAACCCAGCCTTTTAGTAGGTAACAGAAGAGGGGTGCCATTGTCATCTGGTTGCTTCCTGCTGGGGAGGGGCGATGGTTGTGGGGACAGGCTGGATGGTAGGGATCGCTGTTTCTGGAACCGTCGGTATTCCTGGAGCACCACCATATACCGTACAGTCCCATGGGGGAAGACTCTAATACGGTCCTGTAAGAGCTGGGTGAGGAGACATGAGGTAGGGACCATACAGGGTCCAGCCCTACAGGGGCCAGTGAGTCCCTCCCTGCTGGCATGGAGACAAGAAATTGGAAATAAAGACATAAGACACAGAGATAGAGAAAAAAGAGTTTGGGCCCAGGGGTCCACTGCTACCCAAAGCGCAGAGACCAGCAGCGGTCCAGCATGCAGGGACACTCCCACTTTTATTGAGTTGCAAATCTGGGGATAGGGTAGGTAGGGCATGGCAGTGATGGGGTCAAGTACGTCACATGTGATTCAGGCAGGAATTTTCTGTAGCTGAGATGAGGTAAGGGGCATAATGCATCAGCACTTTTTCCATACTTGTCACAAAGATGTTAAGATTTACGTGACTTCTACTGATAAATTCTTACAAGAAAAAAGGAACCAGGTGCAGAAGCAGAACATGAGAGTGGACATGGAACGTGACCACTGAAACACAGCATCACAGAGACAATTAAGCCCCCGGATGTTTGTGGGCCTGCCGCAAGAGCTTGGAGAAGCGGAGTTTTCTCCTAACTCCTCTGGGATAGGAGACGTCTCAGCTATTTTGGACGTCTCCTTCCCTAGCTGGCTAAACAGCGGGCGCTTTCCCAGCACTAGTGCTGCCGCATAGCCTAGGTGTCCTCCAGCAGCCCTTACATGGGCATGGCAGAGGGCTTAAGGTGTCTCGCCTTAGGGTCATTTATTTCACAATGTCACCCCAGGTTCACACTTCCGACCTGAAAGACATTATTAAAAGAATTAAGATCACCTATGAATAACTAAGATCACACATGAATAACTACTAAGATTATATTTTTAGTTACTTTCGCCTTCATTATAGGCTGAAGCGAATATTTTCCTTCAGGAAATAGGCTGAAGCTTTTAGCTTTTTGACAGCATCTTGTACTAGCCCAGATTGGCTGAGGTAGAAACAACATTGTTCATCTAGAAAGAGGCACAGGCCTCCTTTTTCGGCAGCGAGGAGGTCTAGACCTCTGCGGTTTTGTAGGGTGAATGTCGCTCAAGAGTCTAGTTGGTTTTGGAGGTGAGAGACAGAGTCTGCTATTTCTTCCAGTGACAACTGGAAGTCTTGGGAGAGTGACTGAAGATACGATAATGAAGTTCCAAAGATTCCTGCTCCTAACCCGACGGTACCTGTGACTCCGAAGGCTTCTAATAAGGGAATGAACTGTATCGCTCTCTTTGGGTGGATGTGTAATGTAGCAGGGACAGGGAGTTCTTCTTGGTTCAGAGTGACAAGGTTAATGTTGGGGGTAAGGTAGACCAGGGTGCAAGTACCTGTCCAGTGGGTAGGGAGACAGAAGTAGGTTGTGGATCTGCAGAGGAAGAAGATGCCAGCGGTGTTAATGCAAACAGACACCTATTCTCAAGTGGATTAAGAACAGGTGTTGGAGAGTATAGGCTGCTTGTTTGGAGGTACTTGGTTCAGCTTCAGCAACCCACAGTGAGGAGGAGAGAGAGGCCCCTTTGAGAACTCCTGTCTGGGGAAGGGGTTTCCATGTTTGAGAGGCAGGAGGGGAGGTAATGGGAGGGGCTGGGTAAAGAGGCCACTGGCTTCAGGGGAGACTGAAGAATCTACTCGGACTGAGGTATGGGAAGGATGAGAGATGATTTGGGTTGAGATACAGGCAGGAGGAGGGAGGGTGCCTACCTCTACGTGTCCACTGGAAGAAGTGACACATAAGGGGGCTTGGCCAGTTCTTGTGGTGTTGAGGGTTATGGGACCTTGAATGGCGGGATGAGGGAGTTTTGAGTGGTCATAATTGGTAGTATAGGCAGAGAAGTTTGGTAGCTCTGTTAGCGAGGGCAGTGGGATAGTTTGCAATGAGGGTGAGGGCTCTGTCTACAAAGGCAGGGCCTCTTTGGACAGTGTATGAGAAGCAAATGGGAATGCGGTCCCAGGGCTGGGAAATTGGGAGAGCTGAGTAGGCAGCAGAGGAAAGGGAAACGCAGGTCAGGCAACCGGAAGCCAAGTATAGAGCTGGAGCGCAGCAACAAGGAGTGAGAGAGATCCAGACAGCGTTCGAGCTTTGCAGAAGTGAGAAGGGACTGTGAGGAAGTTGAGGCTGTGGGGCTAGCTACTAAAAGAATTAGGAACGTGAGGAAGAATTGGAGTGTAGGAAGGTGGCCTCTTCTAGAGGGTCTATGAGGTGGCGGATAGCGTCCCATGGATAGTCAAATTCTCCTTGCAGATGAGCAAGGTAAAGCTGGGTTAAGACTTTTGTGTGGAAATGGGGAAAGAAAAGAGGACTTCTCATATTTCATAGGTTATGGGGGAGGTTGTTCCTCGTCACGAGGACCCTGGCACCTGGAGTAAGAACAGTGGCGATATATGAAGGAGTTACCGGCTTCTTCCTTGGGGACAGGTGTAAGGCGGAGTTTGGTTGGGCCAAGGAGGGTGCTGGAGAATCAGCGGAGGAGGGTTGGCGGGTCGGTTGTAGGAGCCTTTTAGTCTGGAAAGATGGTACCAAGAGGCATGTCCTGAGAGTCTGGCTGTGGTGGGGGCTGTAAGAATAACTTGAAAAAGGCCTTCCCACTTTGGTTTAAGGTTTGCTGGATTAAGAGTTTTTAGGAAGACATGCTCTCCTGGTAGGAGAGTCTGGTTGGTGGGATTTCCTCTGTGGCATTTTGGGAGGGCCTGGTCTGCTTGTTCACGGAGAAGATGGTAGATGAGGATAAATGTTGGGAGGTACTCTCCTAGCTGAGTTAGAAGGGGCCTGTTTTGTAGGAGGAAAGGGAGTCCGTATATTAACTCAAATGGGCCGAGGAAGGAGGATGCTTTTGGGCTGGCTCTGATGCAGGCTAGGAGTATGGGCAGAAGGGAGGTCCGGGGTTGCTGGACTTGAAGAGTGCATTTGGTCAACTGAGTCTTAAGGATCCCATTTGCCCTTTCAACTTTTCCTGATGACTGGGGTTGGTATGGGATATGGAGGTGCCACTGGATGCTGAGAGACTGAGACTTGTTGGGTGATTTGGGAGATGAAGCTAGGGCCGTTGTCTGACTGTATGGAGCGCAGAAGACCAAATGTAGGGATGATTTCTGTTAAAAGGATTGGGGAAGACTTCTGCAGCTTTTTCTGAGGTGGGAAATGCTTCTACCCACCCAGGGAAGGTGTCTTATAAGAGTAAGAAGAAACAGTTTTTTTTTGGCAGGAGGCATGTGGGTAAAGTCTATTTGCCAGTCTTCCCCTGGGAGTGTCCCTCTTAGCTGATGTGTAGGTAAAGGGGGACAGCAGAGGGCCCCTGGAGAGGAAGTGACAGAGCATATATGACAGTTTGAGGTTATGTTCTTGCGTGAGATAAATAGGTGGGGGGGAAGAGAAGGGTGAAGGAGAAGGTACAGGAGGCGTGCACTGATATGGAAGGATTGGTGAAGAGATGTTAGAATTTCTTTGACTTGCTCTTGAGGGAGAATGAGTTTTTGATCTTTGACTATCCAGTTCCCCTGCAAAGAGGTTCCTTGTAGCAGTGAAGGCTTTTCAGTGGGAGAATACTGGGGTTGGATTGTGGGGGTAATGACAAGAGGGGCAGGGGTAGGAGAAAGGGAGGCTATTTTTGCTGCCTGGTTGGCCTTTCTGTTCCCTCTTGAATTTTCATCTGATCCTGTTTGATGTCCTCGACAATGTGTAACTCCTGCTTTGGCTGGGAGGTGTGCAGCCTGAAGGAGTTGGTAAATAAGGGGGCCATTAGTGATGGGGGTCCCTTTGACAGTAAGAAGCCCTCTTTCTTGCCAGATGACGGCACAGAAATTAAGAATGCGACAGGCATATTTGGAGACTCGTTTGCCTTTGGAAAGGGTTAGGGCCCTGGTGAGAACCATGAGTTATGCCTTTTGGGAGGAGGTTCCGGAGGGTAAGCGTTTAGCTTCAATTACTTGGTCAAGAGTGACAACTGCACACCCAGCAATTCTATGGGAGCCGACTAACTTGGAAGAGCAGCCATCTATAAATAACTGGTCATCAAAATTAGGGAGAGGTTCAGGGGAGATATTAGGGAAATGAGGCTGTAGGTGATCAAGGGTTTTGGTACAGGAATGGGTGGGAGAAGATTCTGGGAGCAGAGACGCAGGTTTGAGGGGAGCACTTTTGGTGAGGTGGAACTCAGGGTTTTCAAGAAAGAAAGGGGAAGGGGAAAGGGTACTCAGTGCTTGGGAGGAGAGATCTTGTAGATTATGTGGGCTGTAAACGGGTGTCTTGATCAAATGTTAGTTTTTTGTTTTTTTTGAGACGGAGTTTCACTCTTGTTACCCAGGCTGGAGTGCAATGGCGCGATCTCGGCTCACCGCAACCTCCGCCTCCTGGGTTCAGGCAATTCTCCTGCCTCAGCCTCCTGAGTAGCTGGGATTACAGGCACGCACCACCATGCCCAGCTAATTTTTTGTATTTTTGGTAGAGACGGGGTTTCACCATGTTGACCAGGATGGTCTCGATCTCTTGACCTCGTGATCCACCCGCCTCAGCCTCCCAAAGTGCTGGGATTACAGGCTTGACAAATGTTAGTTTTTTGCTTTCTGAGGCTAGGGTGGCGGCTGCTGCTAGAGCTCTGAGGCAGATCAGCCATCCTGGGGCAGTGCTGTCTAGTTTAGAGAGGTAAGCTCTGGGAGTGAAGGAGGGAGGAATTCCTTTTTGTTAGCCAAGGATGCCAAGGGCTATTCCATGGTTTTCAGCTACGTAGAATGAACAGCTGAGAGATGTCAGGCAAAGATAGAGCAGGAGCAGTGACAAGGGTGATTTCAGTTTGTGGAAGCTTGGGATTACGTTGTGTGAAGGGTATAGGGGCTCATTTAGAGGGCCTTTGGCTGCTGCACAGAGAGGGTAAGCTGGGAGGGCAAAATTGGGAATCCATATTCTGAAGAAACCTGCTAGTCCTAAGAAAGAAAGGACTTCATTCTTAGGGGAGAGTGGAGGTAGGCTCTCTACTAATGCTGCCCATGCCGGGGTCATGGCTCCAGCCCTGGGGAAAAGTTGGACTCCTAAGTAAATGATGGCTGGGGTGGAGAGTTGTGTCTCAGGGGGGAAGACGACTCTATATCCTTTACTAGCAAAGAAGTTTAGGAAGGTAATGGTGACTCCTCTAGGGAGGGGCTACAGAAGAGATCATCCACATACTGAAGGAGCTGGCTAGGGGAAAGATTTAGGGAGGTGAGGTCCTGAGCTAGCGCTTGTCCAAAGAAATGGGGACTATCTCTAAAGACTTGAGGGATGGCTGTCCAAGTAAGTTGCTGTGACTAGAGAGTTTCGGGGAACAGTGAAAAAGGCATCTTTTAGATTGATGGCAGTGTAGTGGGTTGTGTTGCAAGAGGTAAGGGAAAGGAGTGGATAAGGGCTGGGAACTACTGGATGGCTGGGAAAGACTACCTGATTGACAGCCCGAAGGTCTTGGACTAGTCTATAAGAACCATCTGCTTTTTTGAAAGGAAGGATGGGGGTACTATACAGAGAACGGGTTGGCCTAAGACCACGCATAAGGAGTTTGTTTACAATGGGCTGTAAGCCTTGATGAGTTAATGAGACGGAATACTGGGGGATGTTAGGAAATTTGGAGGGCTCTTTTAGCTGGATTTTGATGGGATCATGGTGAGCTGCTAGGGAAGGGGTGGCAGTATCCCACACTGTTGGATTAACAAGAGAAGTGGGGAGTGGATACCGGGGAGAGGGGTCAAGAGCTAGCGCAGTATTGGAGAGGTGGAGAGAATCTGGTTGTGGGGAACAGAAGGTGATGGAAGCTTTGAATCTGGTTAGGAGGTCCCTGCCTAGGATGGGATAATGTAGGACAACGAGGTATGATAAGGGAAGAGTGTGAGAAAATGGTATCAAATAGGGAACAAGAGATCTGGTGGCGCGTGGGCGCGAGATGAGTCAGTCAACTGTCACAACTGAGACCCGAGAGGGATGAATTGGTCCTCAGAATTCAGGCAAAGCCGAGTAGGAGGCCCCAGTACCGCTTAAGAGAGAGACCGGCTTACCTGATACTAGTAAAATTACCCGGGGCTCCAATGCAGTCGATAATAGATGGTGCCAGGAGCCCTGGGCCTTGTTAGTCTTCAGCAGCTAGGCCAAGGTGGTGTGGGAGTACAAGCAAGTCTTCACTTTCCGTCTTACTGAAGGCTATTCTGTTGAGGGAACAGTCAGACTTTCAGTGGCCTGTGTGCTGGCAGACCAGGCAAAGGCTTTTCGGCACTTGTGGGTTAAGACATGCTCATGCCCAGTGGCCTTCTTTGCCGCACTTAAAAACAAGGCCCAGGAGGGTTACTGCTCTGGAGTCTTTTGTGCCCTTGGGTACTATGGTTAGGTTGATGGATAGCCGCTGCTAGAAGCTGGTATTTAGCATGCTCTTTTCGGGCTTTATTGAATCTATTTTGCTCATCCTTTGTAGGGAACCAGCCCCCCATCACACTCATGGGTACCCTGAGTTCAGTGGCGACAAGGGAATGAGAAAAAGACAGATTAAGAGAGAAAGTTGGACCAGGGGGCCATCACTCATCACTGGAGAAGACAATGAAGGCCCCAGCTTTGATAATAATCACTTTGATCTACAGGGTAGGGGTGGAGTGAATCAGTGAGTTGGAACTGGTGTGTCATTCTAACGACTGATAACGGTGGCAGTTTCAGGAGTTTCACAAAACAAGAACATGTGGTTATCTTTTAGCTTATTATCTATGTACAGTTGGTAGAACACGGACCTTACAAGGAGCCTACAAGCCTGTCTATATCATAGTGCCAAGAAGGGGTTTTACGTCCTTGAGCACAACGTTTATGGTAACAGAGCCTAGGTTACCCTGCACTGGAACATGAGGCATAAAGAGGCCTTCTGCAGTTTTTTTCCCTGTTTATGCATTACTCATAACCAATTTATGTAGGTACTGTGTAAGTCCTTTCTCCTCTGCTGCTTTTCCTGACAATCCTTGTTACTGAAGACTTTGAAAACCAGGTTAAGGAGGTCTTCCTGTGGGATGTGAGGACCATCCTCAGCCTTTTAAATTTGTGTCGCATGTCGGGGGCAGTTTGGGAGATAAAATGGGTATTAAGAACAATAATTCCTTCTGGGGAGGCAGGATCAACACGGGTATATTTTTTGGAGAGCTTCTGTAAGGTGGGAAAGGAATTGGGCAGCAGGGTTTTCATCTGCTTTTTGGGAAATTTCTTCGAGTTTTTCAAACTTTACAGCCTTATGGGCAGCTTTATTAAGGCCTGCAATGAGGCAAGTGATCATATAGTTACAGGATGCCCAGCCAGGGTCTGTGGATTGGTACTCCCAGGAAGGCTCTTGGGGTGGGGGTGGGGGGGAACGTGGACAGCAGCGGATCCTAAGGGCTTAGTAGGATCTAGGATCTTGCCAATGAAGATCTTCAGCATGTGCCTGGGCTGTAGCCACACTCCCTCCTCCTCTTCCGGGAGGAGGACAGAAGAGAGGATAATAGAGATCATGCCCAGTTTATAAGACTGGGTGAGTTATTTAAATTATTTGATGTAAGTATCAGGACTGGAGGACCCTAGACGTTTTTCAATCTGGGAGAGATCAGACAGGGAGAAGCGGACACGGACACAGTCAATCCCCTTGGCCCCTGCTATCTCCGGGAGGGGAAGCAAGGGAGATGGTTGCTGGGCATGCTGGGCTCCAGAGCGGGTAAGGGGTGGAGACTCAGAAGCAGGGTGGTTGGGGGAAGGGTTAGAGCCAGAGCAGGAGCAGATCACTGTCCTCCATCATGATGCTGTCTAGCAAGAAGAAAATCGGCGGGGTTAAAGAGGAGTCATCCTGTGACTTTTATGGCAGCAGTTAAATGAAAAACAGTAATTTACAAGAATGTGTAACTAAGATTTGTTCACGTTTCCCATGACTTCCCCTGTTCTGCCCAGATGGCTGGAATTAGGGTTTGCTTAAGGTAGATGTCTGGCAACCTTGCTGTGGCGCCTAGATAAGTTTAGGAATGCAGCTGCAGAGCATTCAGGGTATGGGTCGGCTGCATTGAGGGGTTTCCTGGGGCAGCTTGTCCAGGAAACCGATGTTCAAGACCTTAAAGGACCTAAGCAAAACACTAACGTCAACAAAACCCTCTCACGTGGCACGATCAGAATGACTCCTACAGGTAAGCAAAGGCCGCGTCTGCTTTCTTCTATGTCCATTCCTACGTGATTCTCAAAAAAAAAAAAAAAAAAAAAAAAAACCCACTGCCACTTCCTTGCTAACTCGATACCCTGTCTTTGTCCCTATGGAACGCTCCCCACCCCCACCCCCGCCAAAACCCCCTCCCCCAGTCTTTGTTCTAGGTTACACAAAAATGCCAGCCATCCAGAATTTAAAAAACAAGGGCGAACTCATAAAAAAGCATCTGGAGGTTGCACGGGGTGGAAAACCTCGGAAATAACTGAATGTCGCCTCTCCACCCGCCCACCCCCTTCCCCAACCAAACGGACAAGATGGCGGAGGCCCGCGGCGTGCGAGCAGCTAAAGGGGTTAGACCCGCCGCCGGGGCAGACGGAGGAGGGTCCTCCATGGCATCCCTGCTCGCTCCAGCTGCAGGGATCACTGGCTCCCAAGCGCTCCTAACAGCCACCACCATCCCCGCGGGCAACTCCTAGACTCACCCGGGAGAGCGCTCTCTGGGTCCTTGCAAAGGCCCTGACGCTGCCCCCGCGACTACGTGGCTACTACCGTTGCAGTCTCGAGACCTTCAGGACAAGTGCGCCCTTCATCCCAACGCCCCGCCACACAGCCAGAAAATAGATCGAGACAAGGAAACTTACCACAACATTTCTCACTCCAAAGCGTGCTTGGGGCACAGCACGCGCCGCTTTATAGTGCGCGCCGCTGGCAAGGCTGGTCCTCGGCGCCAGCCTGCGCTCCGCCCGAGGCGTCCAATACACGCGCCTGTTTGGGAAACTCCGCTTTAGTGCTTAGGCAAAGGATTATTACCCGCTCCCGCTAGAATCTTCCTGAAAAAGCGAAGAGGCATTGTCTTTGGGGCTGACAAAAAGGGAGAAGGATATGTTGGAAACGATTGTCTTGTCACCCGCGTCCGGCAATTCTCAAGACAGAATCAAAGATGGGCCGTGCAGAGAAAGGACCCCGAGGGCGGTGCTGCCCGAGAGAGAAACTGCTGGGGCATTTTGAGCGGCGGGGGCTTGGAGGGAGGCTGCAGAGGCGGGGCCCAAGCCGAAGGGCCGGCTTCAAAGTAAGTCCCCACCGCGGGGCGGGAGGCGAGTCCCGTGCGGAGATTGACAGGGGGCGGTTCTGGGGAAGAGCCCAGGTGGCTCAGAATTAGAGGCGGAGCCTACAGGGCGAGAGGCCGGGCTAGAGCAGTGACGTAAAGACGGAAAGGAGGGTCCTTAGGTCTGGGGAAGTGGGGTCTGGGTGTCTGTACTCCTGGGTCTGTGGGAGTGTGGTCTGGGGCTCGTGCGCTTGGGTCTTAGGGAGGAGGGGCTCGGGCTCGTACACCTGGGTCTGAGGGAGGAGGGAGGGGGAGTCTAGACTCCTGGGTCTGAGGGAGGAGAGACGGGGAGTCTGGACTCCTGGGTCTGAGGGAGGAGGGACTGGGGGCCTGGACTCCTGGATCTGAGGGAGGATGGGCTGGGGGCCTGGACTCCTGGATCTGAGGGAGGATGGGCTGGCGGCCTGGACTCCTGTGTCTGAGGGAGGAGTGGAGGGGCCTGGAATCCTGGGTCTCTGGGAGGAGGGGCTGGGGTCACAATTCCCATGTTTGGGAGAAGAGGGGGTTGGAAGCTGGGACTACTGTGGTTGGGTAAGGCCTGTGGGGCACACCCCCAGTTGTGATGGTTTAAGGCCCATGGGAGTGCATTCTTAGGGTTGGAGATCTTAGAAGTGTCTTTCCACTGATACGATTTTACAGTCTTTCCACTTATCTGATTATTTTGAAAATAAAAAATTTAAACTTCTGTACTCCAAACTCACTTTCTAGGAGTTCCACTGTGAACAATTTAGTGTGAACTTTATTATTATTATTATTACTTTGTATTTTTTCAGATGGAGTCTTGCTCTGTTGCCCAGGCTGCAGTGCAGTGGCGCAATCTCAGCTCACTCCAACCTCCACCTCCTGTGTTCAAGGGATTCTCCAGCCTCAGCCTCCCAAGTAGCTGGGATTACAGATGCCTGCCACCATGCCCAGCTAATTTTTGTATTTTTAGTACAGATGGGGTTTCACCATGTTGGCCAGGCTGATCTTGAACTCCTGATCTCAGGTGATCCACCTGCCTCGGCCTCCCAAAGTGCTGGGATTACAGGCGTGAGTCACCACGCCCAGCCACAAGTGACACAAACTCTTAATTTGAACTAGCTTGAGAGAACTAGTTGTACTAGCTTGGGTGAACTAACTTGAACTAGCTTGGGGTTCCTTTATGGCATCCCCTGGGTGAGAAATGGTAGGGGTAGGAATGTCTTCAGGCATGGCTGGATTCAGAGGCCCAAGTGATGGTATCAGATATTACTGTTTCTTGGCTACTTGGATTGGCTTCATTCTCAAGGCTTTATGTAGCGGCATGTCGGAATCCAGTTAGGAAAGTAAATCATTCCAGGTTCTTCAGAAGGAAGTAAATACAGGGAATCGGTTCATGAGTGATGGAAGAGCTGAGAAGCTATTAAGAAATAGTGAGACAAACCAGGGGGTTAGGAACTACAGGATGCTGCTACTCAGCTGGAAGGATGATGGGAGGAGGTGGTATTACTACAGTCCAGAAACTGGAACCATCTGGAAGGCATAGGCCCATGGTTGGATTGCTCAGTGGTGGCTAGAATCAGGGAATAGATACAACTACTGCTGAAGACCCACCACATGCAGAGATAGAGAGGGTGATAAATACCCTGGCTTGTCCTCTCCTCCCAGAGCCAGTCTTCTGCCAGTGCCTCCCATTAGCCAAACACAGTGATAAGATGAGCAAAGGAGGCTGGGAAGTGTGGTCCTTGCAATGCAGAACAGGGCAGGGTGGGGAATGGATCTGAGAGCAGACAGAGAAAAAACTGGCATAGCTGTTAGCAACTTGGCAGAATTGGTAATAATTACTGAGTCCAGTAGAAAAAAGCTGTCAACGGTTTTTGCAAGAGTCCTGTGTGGCTTGGGACACATGAGCACCCTGAGCCAATTATACGGCCAGTGCAGTACAGTTTGTTGATTGGCTTATAACTGGGGCTGAGAAGGGCAATGGGCAGGAGGTGAAAGACATGTTGAGGAGGTAAGCTGCAAATGTCCACTTATTCTGACTAAGCCACAGAGTGGCTGCTCTCTAAGATGATGAGAGCCAGGGACTTGAGTGTCATCTCAATGCTCTTTCTCTTGTCTGTTTTTCTTCTTAGTTTTATTCTCCCCATGAGGCTGGGTCCAAGACTTAGACAGCTTCAGGCTTGTAATCCTCGAGGAGAGATTGCTCTTCCCTGACAGCTTCCTAATAAAAAGCCCTGGGGCAGAATCTGATTGGTTGGCTTTGGTCATGTGTCCATCTTTGGGCCAATTGCAGGATCTGTGGCATGGGGTACTGTGATTGGCTCAGCCACAATCACATGATTATCTCTGTGGCCCAGAGGGCAGCATATGTCAGGAGAATCCCTCAACCACTGTTATGTGAGTTGGGTGGAGGGTGTCGCCAAGAGATGTCAGGCTGTTTGTTGTTCTGGGCAGAGCAAATTCTCCATTCAAGATCTTGGTTTTAGGCCTGGTGACTTCTCCCTGACCTCTGCTTCTTGACTCTTCAATTAGCAGAAACAACTAAGGGGACTGACTGGGCACAGTGGCTCACACCTGTAGTCCCAGCACTTTGAGAGGCTTAGGAGGGAGGATCGCTTGAGCTCAAGAGTTTGAGATAGCCGGGCGCGGTGGCTCACGCCTGTAATCCCAGCACTTTGGGAGGCCAAGGCGGGTGGATCACGAGGTCAAGAGATCGAGACCATCCTGGTCAACATGGTGAAACCCCGTCTCTACCAAAAATTCAAAAAATTAGCTGGGCATGGTGGCGCGTGCCTGTAATCCCAGCTACTCAGGAGGCTGAGGCAGGAGAATTGCCTGAACCCAGGAGGCGGAGGTTGCGGTGAGCCGAGATCGCGCCATTGCACTCCAGCCTGGGTAACTAACGAAACTCCGTCTCAAAAAAAAAAAAAAAAAAAAAAAAATTGAGGACACCCTGTGGAAAATAAAAGCGGCAACTCTAAGGACAAAAAAAAACAAAAAAGGGAAAAAAACCAAGGGTTCTGATATTTCCCCAAATCCCGAGAGTGCTGTTGCTGTTCTGTATATATGATGGTCCTTTCTCTTTCTTGTTGGGTGTTAGAGATGTGCAGTTTGCCAGAAACAAAGCAGATGAGGTCTTAGCTTATTTGGCTAAAACAGTTTTGCACTGTTGGAAAGTAGACAAAGTAGAAAAAAGGCTAAAAGGAGGAGATGAAGTCCTCAAAAACAGCTGAAACTCTCTTCTGCTGGAAATATAAGTTGGATAAATATCCATCGTAAACTGGAACTAAGCTTTTGGGCACATTGGTGTTAGAGTGTTTGATTTGAAAGTTTTTCTCTTATACAAATCTGTGTATGTTTTGGGGGGGACGCTCTGAGGTGTGAACAAGAGGTGACATTAGGATGTCTGGGGAGGTTCTCAGCATGTGAATGGGGCCACTAGGGGACCTTGGGTGATGAGAAGGAGAGACTGTAGCGGAAGTAGGGTGACTTTGGAGATGAGTGGGGTTACTGAGTTGTCGTGGATAACTTTGAGGGTGCTGTTGAAGGTGTCTGGGAATGATACTAAGGATATTAATGTGAGTTATTATGAGACACTTTTTAGGAGTTCAAGTAAGGTGACTGGGGGTGTCTGTCAGGGTGACTCTAGAAATGATTGAGGCTGGGTGGTTCACACCTGTAATCCCAGAAATTTGGGAGGCCGAGGTGGGCAGATGACCTGAGGTCAGGAGATCTAAACCAGCCTCACCAACATGGTGAAACCCCATCTCTACTAAAAATACAAAACGTAGCCAGGCGTGGCAGCAGGTACCTGTAGTCCCAGCTGCTTGGGAGGCTGAGACAGGAGAATTGCTTGAGCCCAGGAGCCAGAGGTTGGAATTGAGCCAAGATTTTGCCACTGCACCCCAGCCTGGGCAACAGAGCGAGATTCTGTCTCAAAAAAAAAAAAAAAAAAAGAAAGGAAAAGAAGAAGAAAGATATGATTGAGATGGTTCTGTGGGGTAACCTTGGGGGGGTCATCTGTGAGGTGACGTTGGGGAGCGTGTGGGATGGATTATGAGAGTGTCTGAGAATTGGGTTTGAGGTTAAGTAGGGGTGCTTTGGGACAACTTTAAGGGTGTGACTAGGGATGACTCTAGGGGTCCCTGGGGTTGACCTTGTGAGAGTGGAGTTACTTTGGGGTTTCTAGGAGGTGATTTTGGGGATGTGCCAGACTTTGGGGGTGTCTGTTGGGCTGCTTGTGGGTATCAACAGGGATGAGTTTGGAGGATGATCAAGAGGGGTGTCTGGGGCATCTGTCCCCCTCTCCCCAGTTCTTATCCATATGAGTGGGGATTTCATGTTACTGGCAGTGGCCCTGTGCTGTGTCCTCCTCCCAGCCAGTGTTCCACCACCTGAACATGGTCAACTTTGTTTTTGTTTTCTTCTGCATTGGCATTGGTTAAATGCTGGCTCGGGGATGGCGGGACAGTGATGGAGGAGGGGGTACGCTCCCTAAGACCTCTCTGGCTTTTGGGAGGTGCATCTAGACTTTTGTGCTCCTCTCCTCGGAGCCTCTGTCTTAGCATGTCTCTGGTGAGCTCGGACTCAGTTCTAGTCTCTCTCTCAGTCTGGGTGTGTGGGATGTTTCTCTCTCCCCCACTCTGTTTCCCTTTCTTTTTTGTCCCTTCTCTCCAGGTATCTTTCTATCTGCTGTGAGGGTGTGTGTGTGTGTCTGCCTGTCACGGAGAGTAGGAGAGGATGTCTCAGTCCCTCTTTCTTACTGGGGGTCACAGAGCTCACTGTCCAGCCTTCTATCCATCTCTGGCCCCACCCCAGTGCAGGGCTCCTGATTCTCTTCAGCCTGACACTCTTTCCAGTTAACTGCAAGGCGGTGCACCTGAGTCTGGTGGTGTCCTGCCTGGTGACCTCCTACCTGTGCTGGCACGCCAGCAACCTGATGCTGCCTGCCGGTGAGGGCGAGGCCTCGGAGGTGGACAGGGCCTTGGGGGAAGCGGGTAGGGCCTAGGGTTGGACTCAGAGTCCAGCGGTACTCCTAGCCTGCTCCCCCAGGAGCCGTGTCCTACCTAATCCAAGTGGGCATGTGGAGCAGAGGGCAACCCTTGAACGCACGGCAGCTGAGCTGTCGTGGGTGGGCCTTGCAGCAGGGCACTGAGAGGTGCACATCCAAACAGCAGAACTCAGACACAGACTCTGAGCACAGCCTGGGCCTGCCCATTTCATGCACCCTCGAGGACGAGACCACGAGCCTCTTCAAGGAATAGCCCCCGAGCTCCTCAGAACACTGACCAGTAGCCCTGGCCAGATGCCAGGCCAACCCCTTCAGCATGGCCACGCCCCTGATATTAGACCTCCCCTGAGGCCCCACCTCTTGAGATCAGGCCATGCCCTATGAGGGGACTGGTAGCAAACTCTGACCCTCTCTCTAGGACCCGTCCTTTGCTGCTTTGTCCCTGCCCAATGGGTCCTCACAGTACCCGCACCCCAGAACTCCAATACCCCTTCCCATTCTGCAGACACTTGTCCAGTGTCCCATGAAGCTCAGCAGTGTGGCTATGTTGTGTGGCCCTGCCCCTGGTGCCCAGTCTTCGCAGGCCACACCCTGAAGCCACTCTCCACCCCCTCAGCCAGGGTGGTCTGCCTCAAACTTCTTTCCCAGAGTTCGAGCCTCAGCTCCAACGTTCACTCTTGTCCCCCATGCGGACATGGCACTGCCCAGCATTTGGTGCAACTCCGCCCTTCTGCGGAATGGGCCCCTCCCTGGGAGGGCATGGCTTGCAATAACATCCCTCTGTACCTTTCCTGGCTCCCCCGCCGCAATAAAACGTAGACACTTGCTAACCTCTCAGCCTCGGACCCTCCATTGTCCCCCACCTCCAAACCAGGGCAGGGTCCATCCTAGCAAGAGTGAACTGGTCTGGTGTCCCTGACTTGCCCTTTGGAATCTGAGCCTTTCCCTGCCTGTTTGTCTGCACCTGTTACAGCCCCTTCCTTTCCCCACCTGCTGGTGACCTCAGACCTCCAGGCACAGAATTGGGACAGCTGGGGTGGCCCCAGCCTCAGCCACATGGGTCCAGGTGCACCATATCTGGAAAGACAAATGATGCTAGAACGTGACACGCATTTGATGCACATTCAGTTTTACTGGGGGTAGGTGACAGGGCTGGGCATTCA